AGGCAGGAGGGAAAATAACCCTTCAGAGGCTGAGCATGATGATCTTATGAGTGACCGCTCCAGACAGGGCAAGGGGAGAGGAGACAGCGGGCATAGATCCTCACTCTTCCAGGCCAGAAGTCTGGATTCCAGTGGGCAAGGCCATAGCTGCTTTTCCTCGGGGTTTGGGATGGGAGGGTGAGTAGTATTCTTTCTCACCTTCGTAAGTACAGACAGACCCTTTTTCAACTCCACGTCTCCATCTCCACATTCCATAAGGGGGATCAGAGAGAGATGTCACTCTGGCATGAGCCCTGGCTTTCTTTGGGAAAGAGAGTGCAAAATGGCACAGGGGAGGAACAGCTGTGCTGGGAGTAGAAGCAGCTCAGAAGGGAGGGCTTTCCAAGATTCCAAGGTCTTCCTGGTTCTGTTGTAGTGGCCATACTGAGGGCAGGCAGGGGGTGGGGTCAAGTAGGGGACAGAGAGGACTGGCCTGGTACTGGGCGGTGGGGAGTCTCCTGAATACCCTGGGGCCATATTTTAAGAAGTATTGGCTAGGGGGTCTTTTTCTCCCAGATGTTTTTGGCTGTTCTTTTCTTTTCTTCCTTTCTCCAAACCTGGAGTCTAATTCTTGCTTGACTCTTCCTGGAAAGTCAGTAGGCAGTCATGAAGGTCATGAAGGTCGCTATGACATGCTCAGTGAGAGGTTCTGAGGCTCTTTTATTTTTCCTCTCTTGTCCTCTTCCCTCTTTCTTTCCCCTTCTTGAACCTCTAGGATCTGCGTGATTGCTTATTTTTACCCCAAGTACGTACAGTAGGCTGGGCCAGTAGGGATTTGTTTCCCAGGAACACAAATGTGCCTCTGTGCCTTGTCCTTCCTGAGTGCATAGATAGCAAGTCTGGCAGTGGTGGGTGGGTGGGAAGACCTAGGGTTTGGGAACTAGGATGGCTCATAGCCACATTTTCTGTGATGCTCTCTCCAACTTCGTAACAGAACAAGTCCAGACACTTAAAAGTAATGAGTTTAGCTTCAAGTGTATCTGGGGATAATATCAAACTTCAAAGCTCTTCTCTGAGTCAAGACCTAGGAAGTGGAGAGTTAGGGATCTGGGTCTATGGGACAGGAATACACTCAGAGGTCACCATCCTGCACCCACTCCTCTCCTGTGCTCCCTGGCATCATTTGTCTTCCTCCTCTCAATCCTCTAGGGTGTACCACAGTATTCATGCATCACAGGTCATTCACATTGCTGCTTATGTGAACCAAGAAGCTTACCTCTTCCTAAAACCTTATTGTCATCTTCCCAAAAGGGAAATGAGGCTATGGCTAGAGGCCATGGACCCTGACTTCTCCTCTAGTCTTTCTCTTCCCAATGCCTGGAAAATTACTTTGCTATCCAGGACAGGAGCCCTAACATCTCCCTGCATATGGACAACAGTAGAATTTTTGCTTCTTAGGATCTGAAGGCCCAGCTAAGCAAGAGATGGCTGATGTCGGGGTGAAAAACACATTTTGTCATCGTCAACCGGTAAATTACCAGAGGAGTTCCATACTTCTCAGTAATATCACTGGAGATTGGGATGCAGGAAAGTTGCATCCCAATGGAATGGAGGGCACTAGTTCTGGAAAATGAGGTGAGGCATTGAGGATAACAGGGGATGATGAATGCTGCAGAAAACCATGATAGATACCAAGGAAAATGCCTGCCAGTCATGGGGTGCCTATTATACACTGGGCATTTAGCAAATGTACCAGTCCTGTTAGCTTATTTCGGTGTCTCATAAACTTCTCTTAATAATCCTATGAGGTAGGCATAACTGTGTTTCCTTGATTCTAAGAGACCATCAATTTAATAAAAACATTTCAAAGAAAACATACATTGCATTTATGCCTGATGTGTTGTTGTGTTGTGTCTCTACTAATGGAATATAGAATGCACTTATTCATAACATAACCACTTTACAGTTCGGGCTAAGAATGCAAGTTTGAATTCAGGCCTTCTTATTCAGCATCTGAAGAGTCCTGTCTTCCACTGTGCACATATAGTGCTCTATAATCCACCTGGGACTTCTTTCACAATTTAGGATTAATGGTTTAAATTAGAGCAGAATAAAGAATGCAAGGTTTTGGGGCACCTGGGTGGCTCAGTGGGCTAAAGCCTCTGCCTTCAGCTCAGGTCCTGATCCCAGGGTCCTGGGATCGAGCCCCACATCGGGCTCTCTGCTTGGCAGGGAGCCTGCTTCCTACTTTCTCTCTGCCTGCTTCTGCCTACTTGTGATCTCTGTCAAATGAATAGATAAAATCTTTAAAAAAAAATAAAAAAAGAATACAAGGTTTCTTCTGCACTTCCTATTCTATTAAACTTATAGTTCCCCCCATCATCTATCTTTTATATAAGAAATACTCCTTCACAATGCATGACAACAACACAGATTTTCCCAGCTTTGAAAGTCATGTGACCTATGCTTAGAAATTTGTCCAAATTTGCAAATGTGCTGATGTTGACATCCCAATATATTCCTCTGTGTGGTGACTGGCAAGGTTGTTGTTACTTTCAGCATTGGTTATAAAATGTATTCCTATTACTTTTTTTTAACTTTTATTTATTTATTTTTATTTTTTTTTAAAGATTTTATTTATTTATTTGACCGACAGAGATCACAAGTAGGCAGAGAGGCACGCAGAGAGAGAGGAGGAAGCAGACTCCCCACTGAGCAGAGAGCCCGATGTGGGGCTTGATCCCAGGACCCTGGGATCATGACCTAAGCCGAAGGCAGAGGCTTTAACCCACTGAGCCACCCAGGCTCACCTTTTTTTAACTTTTAAAATTCTAATTCCAGTATAATGTACAGTCGTGATTTAACACTTACATACATCATCTTTTTTTTTTTAAGATTTTATTTATTTATTTGACAGACAGAGATCACAAGTAGGCAGAGAGGCAGGCAGAGAGAGAGGGAAAGCAGGCTCCCTGCAGAACAGAGAGCCCTATGCGGGGCTCGATCCCAGGACTCTGAGATCATGATCTGAGCTGAAGGCAGAGGCTTAACCCACTGAACCACCCAAGTGCCCCTACATCATCTTTTATGAGTGAAATCATATGCTATTTGTCTTTCTCTGACTGACTTATTTCATCTAGCATAATACTCTATAACTCCATCCCTGTCATTGCAAATGGAAAGATTTCATTGTATATTATGGCTGAGTAATAGTCCATCATATGTATGTACACGTGTGTGTGTGTGTGTGTGTGTGTGTGTGTGTGTGTGTGTGTGTTTCACATTTTCTTTATCCATCCATCCCCCTTGGGCTGCTTCCATAATTTGGCTATTGTAAAAAATGTTGCAATAAACATAGGGTACATGTATCCTTTTGAATTAGCGTTGTTGTATTTTTAGTGAAAATACCCAGTAGTACAATTCCTGGGTTGTGCATTCCTATTACTTTTAAAAACATTTTAAACTTAACATTTGGGAGTACAATTATTTCCCTTTTCTTTCTCTTCTGAATCCTCTTCAGTCAGGCCTTTGTTTCCAGCCCTCCACCCAAACTGCTCTTGTGAAGGTCATTGACAACCTACCTCCACATGGCCAGACCCACTGATCAACTCTCAGTCAGCAGCAGCAGCACTTGACACCATCCTTATGGAACAGTTTCTTTCTTAGTTTTCTCCATCAATCAGAGCCTTCTCAGTTTCTCTGCCTCATTCCTCCTCACCTTCTGACCTCCGTGAACCAGTCCTCTGACTTCTCTTATCTTCCTGCCTTCACTTCTGTAGTTATGTTACCTAGTTGCATAGCTGGCTTCTATAATAAACAGCTTTTACATGGAAATCTGCATCTCTCCACCCATCCTACTGCCTACTCTACAGCACTCCTTGGATGCCTAAGAGGCTCTGCAAACTTAATGTCTTAAACCAAGCTCTTATTTTCCACCCCCACCTCATCCTAAACTGGCTCTTTTTGTGGTCCAGTGTATCTCAATAAATGACAACTTATGTCCTCTTGTTGCTTGGATAAAAATATCGAGGTCATCCTTGACTCCTATCTTTCTCTCATTCCCTGCATCCAGTCCTGTAGCAAATCCTGTCAGCTGGACTTTAAAATTACATCTAAAATGTAAGCCACTGCTACCACCCTGGCACATCCATGTTAGTCACTCACCTAATGTATCTGGTCCCCCTTCCATCCAAGCCCATCAGCAGCCATTTTTGCACCCTGCAGCCAGAGTGACCCTCTCCAGCCTAAGACAGATCAAGTAATCATCTGCTTACAGACATGCAGTGGCTCCTTATCTCAGTCAGAGTTAAATCCCAGCCCTGTGTCCAACCAGGCTCTATGTTTCCTGGTACCTGCTAGTTTTAACTTCTGCCTGTCCTATGCCCCAGCCAGGGGCATATTCTATTCTGCAGCCAGATTTGTCTCTTGACTGGTCTCATATATGCCAAGCACAGACCACCACAGGGACTTAAGGCTTTTGTTCTTGGGGCTTCTGAGCATCTTCTCTCTTCCCCCAGATTTCCACCTGGCTTGCTCACTCATTTTCTTGAGGTTTCTTCAAATGATACCATAACAGCGAGGCCTCCTTTGTGCCACCTGTGAAAAATAACCACCTCCCAGAATTCTATGCTGCTCAGTCTGCTTCATTTTTCCCCATAGCATGTATACCACTAAGGATAGTAGACACTGATTTGTTGATAGTCTGTCCACACAATACTGAACACAAGGCCAAATGCAGGGATTGTAGCCGTGTTAGTCACTAGACAGTATCCCACGACTTAGAGGAAGGCCACCCCAAAGGAGGGTGTCAGTGAATGTTTATTGACTTAGCAGACAAAGGAAGAATGAACAAAGAGTTAACAGTCAGCATTGAACTTACATTAGAGGCTTTCATTAGAAGAAGCATACACTTCTCTGTTACTCAGACCTAGCAGTCAGAACCAACTCCTCCACATCACCATCGAGGACTGTGGAATGACTGGCCCATCTCAAGCTGACTTTTGCCTTCTGTCCCCTTCCAGGTGTACAGCTCTCCCAGGCTCTGTGAGGCTTCTGCTATGACCACAGTTTCTTCGTGTTACCAGGACTGCCCTTTGCTGCCGCAGCCACACCAGATCCCCATCCTACCCTATCTATCCTTGGCCCCAAGTCAGCATGGGTAGCGTCAGTAGCCTCATCTCTAGCCACAGCTTCCATGGCAAGCATTGCCGGGCTTCACGATACAAGTTGGGCAAGTCTTCCCATCTCAAGAAGCTCAATCGGTATTCAGATGGGCTGCTGAGATTTGGCTTCTCCCAGGACTCGGGCCATGGCAAGTCCAGCTCAAAAATGGGAAAGAGCGAAGACTTCTTCTACATCAAGGTCAGCCAGAAAGCCCGGGGCTCCCACCACCCAGATTACACTGCACTGTCTAGTGGGGACATAGGCGGCCAGGCTGGGGTGGAGTTTGGCCCGTCCACCCCACCCAAGCTTATGCCCTTCTCCAATCAGCTAGAAATGGTAAGCAAAGGTCTCTGGAAAGGGTGGGTGGGTGGGAAAACCAATAGAGAGCAAAATGGGAATGAAGAGGATGGAAGCAGGGAGGGAAACGGAGGCGATGATACTAACATTTAAACCTCCAAGAGGCAAGAGCAGGGGTGGTGAGGACGGAAGTGCTCAGTTACACCCCAGAGATCAAAGGCTAAATGAGGGAATTGAAGCCCTGGCCAATCCCCTAATCTGGGAGATTACCCAAGGGGTGAGCCCTAAGCAAAAAGGAGAAATGAAAGCCTTTTTGAGCTCTACTAGAATGTAACTGGTTGTCAAAACAGGACCAACAGCAGCATTTTCAAGTGCATGGCAAGAGGAGGGAGCTCTGTTATATATGCAAGAGCGGATGGGGAATCCACTTGGAGAGAGGTTGCAGAGAAGCTGCTAGCAGACTCCTAGAGATGGGCCTTTCCCTCACTCACTCCTCCTATGGTGCAGCAGCTCCTCACTCAAGCTGGGCCTTGAAAGTGTCTTTGGCTGGAAAAAAGCCAAATTTGTTATCATCGGGTTAGCAAGGATGAGGTTAAAAGAGCCCTATGCCCTTATGTCATTTTAGACTTTCATGGGTCCCACCAGTGGACCTGAAAACAATTTTCCTAGTTAGTTCTCTGCCCCCACCTGGGGGGATCAGTCCATGGCTTTGATATACTAGGAAAAGACCCCCCTAGTTTGCATCAAGCTTTATGTTTTTCAAATTAAAGGGCTTACAGACTGTAGTATACTCTCCCAATGAAAATGACAGTTTTCAGAAAAGCTTTATTATTTCAAGTGATTCCCCCCAGCCTTTTGATACTGGTCACAGCCAGTTTTCTCACTCCCAGCCTACTGGAAGGGGCAGTGAAGGTGAAGAAGGGCTTGACCTCTACAGGGACACCTTGTTCATCCAGCCCAATGCTCACACCCTACACCACATAGAGACCAGAGCCAGAGCCCTGGCCCAGGGATCTTAGCAAGTGAACCTAAAAATGCTGTTCATTTTCTCAGGAGGGCTGGGACAAGCTCATGACAGGTTGGCAATTTATAAAGCCAAGTACCTCAGTGATCCTTAAGGATATCCCCTACACACAAAGGAATTTATCCTTCTTGAGAGGGACTCACCATATTTAGCTGCTTCATAGCAACAGGCAATGTTGCCTATGGCTAGGACCAAGAAGGATGCTGTGTGTCTGGCACACATATCCAGGCAAGGGAGGGAAAGTTGAGAGGGGAGTTGAAGGGAGACATGGGATCAATATGGTTGTTTTCCTCACCAGGGCTCAGAGAAGGGTGCAGTGAGGCCCACAGCATTCAAGCCTGTGCTGCCGCGGTCAGGAGCCATCCTCCACTCATCCCCTGAGAGCTCCAGCCACCAGCTGCACCCTGCCCCTCCAGACAGGCCCAAGGAACAGGAGCCAAAGCCCAGCCTGTGCTCTGGGGCGCTGTCTGACTCCGGCCGGAACTCCATGTCCAGCCTGCCCACACACAGCACCAGCAGCAGCTACCAGTTGGACCCACTGGTTATACCAGTGGGGCCCACCAGCCGTTTTGGGGGCTCAGCCCACAACATCACCCAGGGCATCATCCTCCAGGACAGCAACATGATGAGCCTGAAGGCTTTGTCTTTCTCTGATGGGGGTAGCAAGCTGGCCCACCCAAGCAAGGCGGACAAAAGTTCCTCATGTGTCCGTTCCCCCATCTCCACAGACGAGTGTACCATCCAGGAGCTTGAGCAGAAGCTGCTGGAGAGAGAAGGTGAGCTCCAGAAGCTGCAGCGCAGCCTTGAGGAGAAGGAGCTGGCCTCCAACCAGGCCTACGAAGAGCGGCAGTGGCGCTGCAAGGAGGAGCTGGAGGGCCTGGAGCAGAAGTGCAGCAGCAAGTTGAAGCAGGCCTCCCAGAAGAGCCAGCGCACGCAGCAGGTGATGCACCTCCAGGTGCTCCAGCTCCAGCAGGAGAAGCGGCAGCTCCGGCAGGAACTTGAGAGCCTCATGAAGGAGCAGGACCTGCTGGAGACCAAGCTCAGGTCCTACGAGAAGGAGAAGACCAGCTTCGCCCCCGCACTGGAAGAGACCCAGTGGGAGGTGAGGCTTTACCATGTAGGCTTGGGTCAGCTGTTTGATGCCAGTCCCTGTTTCTCCAGGTCCTAGCCCATGGTGTTTGAACACAGGCTGCCTAAGCAAAGTGAGCCAAAGTGCCAGCCTTGCGACCTGAAGAAGGAGCTCCATGATAAACCATGTTGGGGAATACAATTAGTGTTAGTTTCCTACTCTCTCCTGCCCCAGGGCCTCATGGCCTCTGGAATTGAATTTTTTAAAAGAGTCATTGACTGAGAAGCTGGAACCAGGAGAACAGAGGCATTGTGGGGCAATCTGAGGGCTGACCCACTTCATCTTGCAGGAGGCTCAAAAGAAGCATAAGTCATGCTTGAGTCTGAGTTCACACTGGTTCAAGAGACCACAAGAGAGCATGGTATTTGTTATTTTTGAGAGAAGGGACCTCATCCACTAGTAAGAGTGACCTCACTTATGGCAGGTATCACTGACAGAGTGGCTCATTCCTCACAGAAGTGTAGGTGGAGCTTTGATTTGGTGGGCTGCAATGGAAACATAAAAGCACAAGAGAAGGGCACACAACACCTAGAAATGAGGCTTTGCTGGAAAGCCTCCTTAACCTCTACATCCTGCTCTCCAGAAAGTAGCTTTCCTCACCTGAGGGACCTCTCAAGGTGGTGGGAGTGGGTGGGAAGGTAGGGCTGTAGGCATAGCCACTCTGTCACTCTCCCCAAAGACTCCTACCCTGGAAAGGAACTGAGGAGACATTGTGTCTGGTTAGATCAGTGCCACCCCCAGGTCCAGCTACCTACATGCACTGGAGCTTTCTGTACTTACTCTAGAAATTAGAATGACAGGAATCATCAGGATGGATTCCCTCAGAGGAAAAGGATCCCTTCTGTGGCAGAGATGAATGGGGGACTGGACAGGTGGGAAGGGAAAATCACTTGTGTTTGCCAGGTCTCCTAAAGAGGAAAGGATGCTGGCAGTGGGAGCAGTGCCTTTTTTCTTTCCCATTGATGCTGGGACAGCAGACCCCACCCGAACTGTTGTTTTTCAGCCAGGGCTCAGGACATTTGGGGCATCTCAGAGATATAAACTAGTCCTGGCACTAGGCATCCATCCTTATTTGCCCAATCCCCAACTAAGCTGGGCATTGCTGTGACCTCATTCCCAGACTGTCCAGTTAGACTGTATAGCAAAACAATAAATATAATAACAGATAATATATTACAAACATAGTTAGAATAATAATAGCTTATCAGGTGTTTAAGTGCCAAGCCCTAGAGTCTCCCTTAATTCTTATATAAGCCTATAAAGTAGGTACTGTTACTAATCCTTAATTTAGTTAAGGAAACTGAGGTACATAGAGGTTCTAGTAGCAAATAGCTAGTTAAATCACTTGCCGATGGTCACCACATAACAAGTATCAGTGCCAGGATTTGATCTTAACACTTTGGCTCCAGAGTTCACATTTTTAATCACTACTCCACAGCGCCACAACACTGAAGTGGTGTGTCACCAGGATCAGCCGATCGTATCATACATGATCCCTAGGATTCAAAGGCAGGCCCATGTCTCAACCATGACTCTATGTTGTTCCCTCCATGAAACAAATATAGGCTTAGTCTTAGAAAGGCCTTCTTGGTCCCACACAAGCATTGTCAGTGGAGTTTTGTATTGCTTCCTAAATGGTACATGAGTACAAGGGGTTGGGGGTTACTACTGTGAGTGAAGTGAGGAGAAATTAAGGTGACCTCTGGTCTGATCCAAGAATCCATTCTGTAGAGGCCCAGGACATGACCTTCAGTCTGTCCAGCTTTCCCCCAGGCCGGCAAGAGAAAAGTCACTCTTGCGATACCTCCGGCCAAACTGGTCCCGATCTTCTTTTGAGCCACCTATGACCACAAATGGCCAAGACCCTGGAGACTCATGGATCTGAATCAGTGCTTTTGGTTTTATCTGCTGCTCTTGGCCAACTTTGGAAAAGAAATAAGAATAGTAAGAGTGGAGAGGTGGGGCCAGGGGAGAACATAGTAGCTCACCATTTGGCAGATCTGAATTTGACACTTTGAGCCAGGCACATTACTAGTCATTGGAGTGCAGCGGTTAATGATCGAAACAGTCTTTAGCGCAGTAGGGAGGGAGGGCAGCTGGGTGTGCACAGGGGTGAGGTCAGAGGATATGGGCACAAGCATGAATGATAGAAGTTTGGCAGACATGGAAATCAATATCATTGATGTTGAGTGTGGAAGATGGAGCTACCAGTAGTGATCACAGATTTACACATAGCCGTGGCTTTGGGTACAGATTCAGATTTAGACTGTGATTTGGGATTGAGGCGGCATGTGGACAGACCAAGTCAGGCCACAGAATGAAAGGAAGCACAGAGAGGGGGCAGCCTTCATGGGTCACCCAGACCGTCATGCTCTTGAGACTGTGTCAGGACCAGCCTAATTCCTCAGACAGTTAAGATGTTATTTGCCCCAGGTAAGGACCTCCTACATCTTAACACTTTCTCTTCTCCCCAACCCAACCCTTGGCAGGTGTGCCAGAAGTCAGGTGAGATCTCTCTCCTGAAGCAGCAGCTGAAGGAGTCCCAGACAGAGATCAATGCCAAGACTAGTGAGATTCTCAGTCTAAAGGCGCAGCTGAAGGACACACGGAGCAAACTGGAGGGCATGGAGCTGAAGACTCAGGATTTGGAGAGTGCTCTGCGTACCAAGGGCCTAGAGCTAGAGGTCTGTGAGAATGAGCTACAGCGCAAGAAAAATGAGTCTGAGCTTCTCCGAGAGAAGGTGAACCTGCTGGAGCAGGAGCTTCTGGAGCTCCGGGCCCAGGCTGCCCTGCAGCGAGAGGCTGTGTCTCTGGGGCCAGGACTAGGGCCTGGGCCAGGCACTACGTTCTCTGAGGACATCCCCGCCCTGCAGCGGGAGTTGGAGCGGCTGCGTGCGGAGCTGAAGGAGGAGCGGCAAGGCCATGACCAGATGTCGTCAGGCTTCCAGCATGAGCGGCTGGTGTGGAAGGAGGAGAAAGAGAAGGTGATCCAGTACCAGAAGCAGTTACAGCAGAGCTACCTAGCCATGTACCAGCGGAACCAGCGCCTGGAGAAGGCTCTGCAGCAACTGGCCCGTGGGGACGGTGCAGGAGAGCCCTTTGAAATTGACCTTGAAGGGGCCGACATCCCCTATGAGGACATCATAGCCACTGAGATCTGAGGGGCCTGCTGAGAGAGGGAGAGCCAGGGATCTGACACTGGGAGGCAGGGGTACAGAGCCTGTCAAGGAGGGCTCCTCTCTCTACTCCCCTGCTCAGTAACTCAGGCCTCTGTGAGAGGCCTTCTCCAGGGCACAGACCTGGGATTATCCGGGGGAAGGGAGAGGAGAAGGACTGCTACATAACCTTTCCAATCCTTGCCCACATTTCAGCATTTACCATCCCTGCAGCCCACTAGACCTCCAGCTTCCTTAAGAAATGGATTCAAGGATCTCCATCATTTGGTTAAGAGATCTCTAAACATTACTTTTTGTTCAAAAATACTTAGACCCTCTCCCAGGTGGTAACTGCTGTATTGGCCGATGGCCACCCCAGGACAGAAGCTCGCTTCTTTCTCTTCCCACAACCACTTTTTTGCCGCTGGACACATTGGGATGACTTGAGAGTAGAAAGAAGCCATCTGTGATCATAAACCTTGGCACTTGACCCGGTCATAACCTGAGCTATTTTTCTCTGGTCTCAGAGCTGTAGGGGTTGGATCTTGGTATGGAGGACCTGGCTTAGCAACATCAGAGCTATCCCAACCCTGGAAAGCCACAAAAAGAAGGGGAAATCTGGGGCATCCCAGGAATGTCTAGACTCAGCAAAGCCCAGAGGGGGTCAGAGGAAAAAGCCAGGTAGTAAGGGCCAGACCCTGCTGGGCCCTGCTAACTGGAGGTAAGCAGCCTTTGGACAGCTGGTAACCTTTGACCTCAGTGACCACTCTTTTTAAAGCCATAGACACTGAGGCCCTGTGGTGGGGAGGATTGAAGGCACTGTGACACAGGGAAGGTATGGCTTTCCAAATGTCCCTGGGAGAGCCTCCAGATCTCTCCTCATGGGGTTAGAGGTAGGGGTTTCCCCACTTGGTTTAAATTGGCCAGTGGCTACTCTGAACTTATTTTCTTCTCAAGAATCCAGCCTTTGCTTGATCCAGAATAACCTATATACAACTAAAATGGTGCAGGGATGATCTGACATTTCCTTCCTTTGCCTGTGGCTCAGTTCATGGGCATACCCTTTCCCCTTTGCATTTCCAGTCCTAAAGTCAGACAAGACTCCTTTCAGGTCAGGAACAATCCCCAGAGTTTGGTGGGCCAGAGCCCCAGGCAGAGAGAAGAGACACAAATACAGCCTTATGAACTACCCCAGGGCCACTGGCTAGCCTCCCTCTACCTGGGCCCCACAGGAACTCCCAATTATCAAGAATCCAGGAGCTTCAGTTTTTTGGGGGCTGGGCTAGTGCCTGGGGGAGGCTGGTGTCTCTCTTCTGAAGATGTGCAGAGCTGGGGGAGGAGAGAATGGTGGAGTTCCTCAGTAGCTTGGTTCAGAGAAAGAAAAAAATATTTTTTTTTGGTCTTCTTTTTTTCTTTCTTGTCTTTTCAGAAGCAAGCCAGATCTAGCAGGCAGCCAGAACTGTTCCATGTTCTATTTTTGACTCAAACTACAGCTGTTGTTCTTTCTTAGGACAGCCAAGCCTTGCTGGATTCCTGAGCTTCATGCCTGCTTGCTGAGGGGGGTTCACTGAGGTAGGAGGGATGAGCGAGTCTGGGTATTTAGCAGTTTGAGACCAAAACCCCTGATTCTGCCTCTCCGACCACAGTCCTTGCAGGACCCAGAGTGGGAGTGGGAGCTGCTTTTCATCACCCCCTGCCTTCAGGCTCTGCCTTCTGGTCCTTGGGGTTAAGCTGTGCCTGTGACAGAGGAGCTTTTCTGGAATTTCAAGCCACTGGTCTTAGTCATAGGCCAGACTTAAACCTGAAATGGACAGGCTGAACACCCCCCTTCTGCCTGGAGGAGAGTACCCTCCACTGGGCACAGTGCAGACCCTCAAGTCAAAAATGTCCCACTCCCTGTGTCATGCTGTGAGAAGGTGGGAGAGGGATAGTAAACTCTCTTTCAATAGAGAAGGCACTTTGAGACCAGAAAACAAAGAAGGTGACTCCACACAGTCTACACAGAGTTTTATTCAGGGTAATTTACTGATGGGAGAATTGGGTGGAAGATGACTTATTCTCCACAAAGTCTGGAACTTAATGCACAGATTTTATAAAGCTGTGGGACACAGAGAAGGGCATTATAGTGAAATCAAAGGGTTTGCATGCCCCTAATTGACAGCTAACCTTTAATTAGATCTGTGGCACCACCTGTGCCTCAGGAAGAGGGAAGACTATGTCCTAACGGATTCACGGGGGGCCAAAACAAGCCTCCCCCAATCCCAGCTTTGGAAGGCATTTCTAAGGTATGTATGTATGCTAACCTCCTAGAGGCCCAGAACACAGCCCCAGGAGAGGTCATCCAGCAAACACAAGCAAGACTGAGGGCCAAAGATGGAGTCCGTATGGTCAGCACTGCTACACACAGCCCTCACCCCCTCTATTTCCACCAGCCTGTGCCTTGTTTGAATTCTTTTTCCCAGTGAGACTGCTGTGAGATAAAGGGGCTACTGTTCCCTCTCCAGGTTGGAGATACACTACTCCCCACCCCCAAAGAGCAGCCAAAAACCCTGTGCCCTGCCCTGCCTTGCTGAGAAGAGATGGGTGCTAAGCCCAGGGGAGGACACTCAGGGGCAACAACATCTGTGCTCCACCATAGTGTGACCATACCAGGCACTCCACATCCCTGCCTAAGGCCAGGATGCCCCCCTTGGGAGGCCACCCGCTGAAGACCCCAGGGTGGCCCACAGTGGCACCAGAGTGCAACAGTGTCCTGTAACATAGTGACCTTACTGCCATGTGGTTTTTCTTCCCTTCCCCATGGAAAAACATCCTTACTATTCCTGGACCATGCCAAACTCAGCCTCTCCGGAAGGAGGATCTGAACGAGAGAGGCTGAGCAGGGACTGGGAAGTCAGATGATGGGGCTTCAGAGCAGACGGCCTGGCCCAGGGCCAGCCAGCATGAGCTCGTTGCCCTTCGCTCTGAATACTCCTGCTGGCATGCTTGCTCATTCAGTCAGATCAACCTGCTCTGCTCTTCCAAAGGATGCTTGGCCTGAAGATGCTCTGGCTGCCTGCAAAGAGACAGCAGCATCCAGTACCTCCTCACTGAAAAGGGGACTCTGCCTCCAGGCCTTGCGATGACCAGACTCTGGCAGGACACCCCTGGAGGTATGTCTTCTGGCTGCTGTGTCATTCAGGTAACTCCTGCTTGGTGCGCTCTGACCCCCATAGGCACTGAGCTCCATAAGGACTGGGGAGGGTTACCTCTCCCTTGCTGACCCTCTACCCCCTGTCCTGCTCTTGTCCTGGCCCAGCCTGGACCATCTCTTGCTGATGAAGCAGCAGCTTTGTGAGAGGACTTTTCCTGTGGGACCTGAGTTCTCCTAAGCCAGAGCTGCCATGGCAGGAGGCTGTGTACCCTGTACAACAGATGCTTCTTGTGTGATCAGTCTTGTGATGAGTCTGCAGACAAAGCTGGAACCTCCAGCCAAGGCTGGCTTTGGATAGACCGGCATTTGGAAGAATATGTACATAGTTATTTTTCTCTGGGTTGTTTCTTATTTTTTGTTTGTTTGTTTGATTTGCTTTTGACAGCTTCATTTTATTTTTGATGCCCCTTTTTGGCCATGTAAAGTATTTCTGATAATTTTATGTTTCTATTTATGAATAAAGAATGCCATTTCTCATGCCCTCCAGAGCTACTTTTGTCTCCTCAAGCTACCCTGCTTCTCCAGGCTATGGCATGGCAGCTCCTCTGGGCACCTCCCTCTGGAACAGGAAAGGTGATGTCTCTCCCTGCCAGTGAAGGCGGTGCAGACAGCTTTGATGAAGGCAGTGTTGGCTGGGGGAAAGCATGGGCCTTGGCATCAGCTAGACTTCAGGCAGTCTGAACCATTCTTCAACCCTGTGTTTTTTTTCTGTGAAGGACCCTACCCCAGCCCCAACCTAAGGCCTCTCCTCCCTCTCTCTCCAATTCCTTGGCCTATCGAAGCCAGGCTCTTTGGCTAGAGACCAGAGTGGCTGTTGTTGTTACTACCTCAGGGCCCCCCAGCTGGGAAGGTGCAGTCACTCTGGTGGCCATCTGTCCAGCCTTCTCCGTGCCAACCGGCCTCGTTCACTTTGACAAGCATTCCCAACTGCTCTGGGCTCAAATCCTACACACAAAGGGCTTCGAATCAGTTGGCAGGAGACAGCAGGGACTTGTAAAAAGGAAATGGAACACTGAGGGATAAATGGCAATGCCTTTGAAGTGGGACAAGTCAGGGTCTCTAGGGAAGGTGGCAGGCAAGAAAGGGTCTGGGGGCAAGTATGGGACAGAAGAGGAGTGGGCAGGAAGGGAAAGACAGAAACCACAGCCAGGACAGGCATTCACACCAGCCTAGGGCTCCCTTCCTGTCTATACAGGTGACAGGAGAGGCAGGAGGCCAGGGAGTGGTGGATATCCAAAGCTCAAGGAAGGTCGGGCAGCTGAGAAATGACCAAGCCAGGACAGGAGCCTGTATTTGTCTAATTCCAAGGTCCAGCACCTGGACAAATGGGTCATATCGGCCCTGGAGTAACCCTTCTTGTTCTCTGTCCTAGAACTGTCTCATGGTGGGTAGGTCATTGCATTGGTGGCTCCCACTGAAATATGCCTTCCACTAATCACACCCCTAAGTGGCCCCCTCCCCTTTAGTTTTGGCAGGACCTGAGACTCACTTTTTTAAAAAATTAATTGAAGTCGGTAGAAGTTCCACCAGTTCTAAGCTTAGAAGGCTGCCTAAGCTTGGAAGCTTCCAATTTTATATTCCTGGGGGCCCTGAACTGCCATGTAAAAAGCTCCTCTAGTCTTCTGGAGAGACCCCAATGGAGTGGGAGGGATCCTGTTGTCCCAACGAGGCTCCTGATCCATCAGACCCCATAGAACAGGGATTTGCTTCTCCCACTCTGCCCTTCCAGAAAGAGCACACCAAGTAGCAGTATTTTTAAACCGCTGAATTCAAGGTGATTTCTCATGTGGCAAAGAAATAGATAACCAGACACTCTCTGGTAACCGCCTTACTTGCCACTTCAACTAGACTCTGTCTGTTGGGCTAAGAGTAATAGAAAGGCAGGACTCCTGGAAAGGCATGGAGCTATGGAAAAGACTGCTTTAGTGGCAGTAAGTGGCAGCAAAGTAGGGAGCAAAGCCTTCTCCTTGCCCATCTTCCCCTGGAGTACTGTTGAGGACAAAGCCTTTCTTAAACTCCAAACCTACTCACCATTTTAGGGAAAAAAAAAAAGAAAAGAACAAAAGGGAAATGAGAGTGGGAGATAAAGAGAAAGAAAAAGGGAAAAGGGGGCTTCTCCTCCCCTGAGAATAAGCAGCTGAGCCTCAGCCCGACCAGTGCCGAGAGCAGTCCCAAGGTTCTCATGACTTCATGAACAAAGCATGCACACTTGTGCCTGTGAGGTGGGAGGCAGAGTGGCCACTGTCCCCAGGTGGCCTCCACAGCAGGTGCTTTCTGAATTACATGAAGAAGATCAAGCTGCCTCCAACTTTCTCTCCAACCCAGGCATCAGAAGGCCTGAAACATCACCATTTCATTCACTCATGTGTGCATACATGTATTCATTCAACAAATATTTATTGAGATTCTATTTTATGCCAAGCCCTATTCTAGATACCAGAAATACAGAGGTGAACAAAAATAGTGAAGGGCCTTTCTCCTTAGGAACTTTAACTCTGGAAGTAAATAAATCAGTTGATTTTCAATTCAATCAGGTAAGTGCCATGAAGGAAAGAAACAGGACAATACAAGCCGGCTGGGCACAGGTGGTGCTACATGGAAGGCTGGCATGGGGGAAATCAATACAGGTAAAGGAAGGTTGAAGAGCCAAAATGTCCTCTTATTTCAACATTTTGGGAGACTGTGTCAGTCTTCATCCCTTCCTGACTTGGATCTCCCTTTCCCACCCCACGTTTCCTCCTTTGGAAACCCCAGCTCTTGCTGGGGGCCTCAGCAGACACTTTCTCCACAGGGAGCTAGCAGCGCTTCGCCCTCCTCAGCTTCTCTCTTGCTGCCCTGAGCCTCTCCTACAGCAGCCCTGAGCAGCCTACAACCTCAGCTTCCTCTCGCTCAGAAACAATTCCTCCCATCACTCCCAGTGAAGAGCATGGGAAAGCTTGAATTTAGCATCAAACATTGTCCTTCCACACAAGAAAATTAAAAACAATTTTGTGAAATGACACAATCCTTATATGGAT